CCACCATTTCATGGTCACTGTAGCCAAGGCTGCCCTTGAGTTTCACATTCCCCACCAGCCCCTCCTTGTTGGTGAGAACAAGGTCCAGCATAGCACCTCTCCTTGTTGGCTCCTCTATCATGTGGAGAAGGAAGTTATCATCAACGCATTCCAGAAACCTCCTGGATTCCTTATGCCCTGCTGTGTTGTCCCTCCAACAGATGTTGGGGTGGTTGAAGTCCCCCATGAGAACCAGGGCTTGGGAACGTGAGGCTGCTCCTATCTGTCTATAGAGGGCCTCATCCGCTCGGTCTTCCTGGTCAGGTGGCCTGCAGGAGACCCCCACTGTAATGTCACCTGTCCCTGCCCTCTCTTTAATCCTGACCCATAAGCTCTCAGTCGGCTCCTCGTTCATCCCCAGGCAGAGCTCCATGCACTCCAGCTGGTCATTGACATAGAGGGCGACATCCCCTCCCCGTCTCCTCTGTGTGTCCTTCCTAAAGAGCCTGTATCCCTCCATCCCAACACTCCAGTCATAGGAGCCATCCCACCACATCTCCGTGATGCCAATAAGTTCATAGCCCTGCAGGCATGCGCACGTCTGACTCCTCTTGTTTATTCCCCAATGCTACATGTGTTAAATGCATAGATGCATTTAAGTTGGGCCCCCGATGAAGCCGACTTACTGGCTGGAGTGGCTGGAATTCCTTTGTGCTGCTCTTCAGGTGCTCTTCTGCTGTGATCCTTCTCCAGGCTCTGGGCATCTATTGCTGGCACTGGCATCAAACTGGTAGGAGGGGGATGGATTGAGATTGCCCTCCCCCCAGCAACTTTATGGCCCTTAGGCGCTCTTGTTTTCTCTTTAAAAAAACTGTAAGTTTTAAAGACAGTATTTCCCAAATGTTGCACAGTGTTTAACACGTGGTGATACTAATGAACTATAGCAGAAGCTGCTCGGCTGATAAAACAAACATTAGATGTATAAAGTACATTATTATTACCTGTGATCCTGGTATTTCTCTGTGAAAAGCATCTGTAGTTTCTTTAACAAGCTCTGTTAATGCATAATACTCAGGCGAGGTTTCGTTAACTTCTTGCTCTATATCTATGTTAATTCCATCCATATACTGGTTTTTTGCAAGGTCCACCTGTTGGGATATCCATGCCGCTCTTTTAGCAGGATCAACAATTTCCTTAAGAGGTACATCACCTAGACAAGAGGCCTTCAAGAGTTAACACGTATTTACACCGAAGTAATAGTAAGGAGGAAAGGTTTGACTTTACTCAGCCAACAAACATAACTGCAAAATAAAAAATCCCCACACCCATACTGGTAAAATACAAAGGAGTTAACTTTTTTCCCCCAAGCATAATTCTGAGAACCCACCCCAGAAGAGATTACCAAGCTTCTTTGAGACAGCGGTGTTTAAAATTAAGTTCCTTTTGGATTTTTTTCTATAATTTTAATCTCCTTACTTCTCTTTAATATTCTTTTAGCCACTGTAAACTTCCTTTCTCGAAATCAATGTACTTTCGGTATTTCCATGGAGCCAGAGGGACTGTGTCTTACTGTTTAGATAAACATACTTTGATGTTTAACCTTTGTTGCTTTCCACATTGTGGTCTTGGATTCCATTTTTGCCTCAACAGAGCCAAAACTTACATTACATCAGGTAAGCTGTAATGGACTTTGTCTTTTTAATCAGCATTTGTACCTGCAGAGAGTCCCGAGTATTCATGTTTTAAAACTCAACCACTTCCTAATACAGAAGGATTGCTTTAAGTGAAAAATACTAAAAATTACTTAAAAATCCCTTCCCTTACCCTGTCTTTCGGGTACTGCGTGTAACATCCAGAATACAGACCCAAATAAATATCTTCTACAGGCTTTTCCTTTCCTCCTTCCTCCCTGTTCCTCCATAACTGTAATGTTCCGTTAGAGAACTTTTACTTGGATGTCACTGGAACGGTTACTACTGTGGCAGAAGCCACCGCTGGTTTTCTATTTAGTACCCTGCATACCAGCACGTGCAAAACGTCAAGGTATTGTAGTCCGGTGTGCATTATCCCCTTATTAATTAATCCTCTTACTGACTTCTAATACTCTGCATACAAGTGAATGTGAAATGTCAAGGTATTGTAGCCCTACGTACATTACGTTCTTATCCACGTATCACATAAATATCCACGTTTTCACAACGTGACCAACCTTTCAGTACTATCCTGGAGCCTTTAGAGTGAGCATAGCACATGAGCTCAGGATCGTACTTTCCAAAAGCTGCCACAGTTGTAATTCTTGACCAGTCGTAGGATTTCCAGGTTTCCTTTCCCACATCGAACACGAAGACCTGGAAAAGGGGTAGAAAGCACCCTCATTAGCTCCAAACACTGCTCAGCAGGACGATTGTTTTCCACACAAAGGGCCATGACTTGTGTCTCCGGGAAACCAGCTCGCACGCTTGCTTCTCTGCACTCTGCCAGCTCGCGCGAACAGCTTCCCAGGGCCGGGAGCGGCGGCCCAGCAGCCAGGCCGGGAAGGGCCGCGGTCTGCAGCAGCTGTGGGCAACGCAAGCCCGGCAGCGGGGCCAGCAGTCTGCAAAACCAAACTCCTCACAACTCTGACATTTCCCTGAAAATCGCACGCGCCTATTTTTAAAAAAATCCGTTCGACTCTAACGCAGACAATTAAAACACGGCAGTGGCGCTCGGTGTGTTTAACACGCTCCTAACCGCGCGGGCCGTCCCGGG